TCCCCTCACTGCCACTTAACTAACTGTGAGACCTTGAATCAGAAATCAATCTCTTTGAGCTCAGTTTTCCATGCTGTAAAATGGGGAGAATAAAAATATCTTCATTAAAAGATATTATGATCATTGAAATGAAATTATGTATAAAAGCTCTTTCACAGTGTTGGCACAATGTTCTCTGGATGTGCTAGGTAATGGGTTAAAACTTTAACTAATGACTGTTTCAACAATATTGAAGCCTAATACTTTCCAGACATAGAGATATGGAAGGAACAAGAGAGACATAATTCTTGCTCTCAAAGACCCTATGTTTACAAAATTATGATAATTTTTATATTAAATTTTGTGGAAGCCACCTTTCTTGCATGACTTATATCATATGCTATTATTGGGTTATCAAGTAGAGGGCTTTTAGTTTACTCTCATGTTGGTGATTATTCAGGGGCTGATTCTGCTCTCAGGGCACCATGGAAAATGTGCAGAGATATTTTGTCACATCTGCGAGATGCTTGTGGGTAGAGGTGAGGGATGCTACTAAACAGCCTCTGTGCAAAGGGCCGCTTCCTGCGGCAGAGACTTATCTTGCTCAAAATGTCAATAGTGCCAGCTTGAGAAACCCTGATCTGTGTCTATATTTGTACATATATTTCCTTCAAATTTTTTAAAAAATATTTTACTTTATTTTTTAAAAGATTTATTTATTTATACATACAAGACCTGTGGTACAGGCCAGAAATGTGGGGGGTGGGTGGGGTTGGTGGGGTGGGGTAAGAGGATTCACCAGAGACAGAGTGGGGAGCAGAGAAGGCAGATGTACTGAAATACACTGCTGAGGGGAGCAGTGGGCCAGACAGGAGAGGTCTGCTGTGCCATGTGGGTCACTTCCCTGGCTGGGGAATCAAACTCTTGCTGCAGTGGCTGGGGATAGCTTCAGAGTGCTGTGTCTTATCCCTTTGAGCCCCCAGGGAGGCCCCTCCTTCATACCTTTTAATTGTTGCTAGAAGGACTTTCTTATTTGCTTGTTATTATAAATAATCTTTTCTTACTCTGATTCTAGTTAATATCCGGAAAAAAAAAAAAAACCTTTAAAGTTCTAGTTAAAGATAATACTGCACATCCTCGCCAACATTTGTTGTTGCTAGTTTTTTTAATATGTGCCATTCTCACTGGTGTAAGATGGTATCTCATGGTAGTTTTGATTTGCATTTCCCTGGTTACAAGTGATGTTGAACATTTTTTCATATGCCTGTTGGCCATTTGCATTTCCTCTTCAGAGAAGTTTCCTTTTAGCTCTTCTGCCCATTTTTTGACAGGATTATTTTCTTTGTTGTTGTTGAGTCTCATCAACTCTTTGCAGATTTTTGCGATCAGTCCTTTATCATTAGTGTTGTGTGCAAAAATGTTCTCCCAGTCGGTGGGGTTTCTCTTTGTTTTTGTTATTGTCTCTTTTGCTGTGCAGAAGTTCTTTAATTTGATGTAGTCCCAGCTGTTTATCTTTGCCTTCACTATCACTGCTTTGGGTGATATGTCTGTAAAGATGTCTTTGATGTGCATATCACATAGTGTTTTTGCCTATATTTCCTTCTATGTATTTTATAGTTGGTGGGAGTGCAAACTGGTCCAACCACTATGGAGAGCTGTGTGGAGATTTCTTGACCTACTAAACATAGAGCTTCCATATGATCCAGCAATTCCACTCCTAGGTATTTACCCAAAGGACACAGAAACATCAATTCCAAAGAGCACCTGCACCCCTATGTTTATAGCAGCACTATTAACAATAGCTAAGCTTTGGAAACAACCCAAATGCCCAAAAATAGATGACTGGATCAAGAAGATGTGGTACATATACACCATGGAATATTACTCAGCATTCAAAAAGATAAACACATGCAATTTGCAGCAACATGGATGGCGCTGGAAGGGATCATGCTCAGCGAAATAAGCCAGAAAGAAAAAGAGAAATAACGGATGGTCTCACTCATAACAGGAATCTAGAAAACTTAAATAAGGGACCAGGAAAATGAATAACTATAAGAAAGTGAAAATCAAAATCAACAAAAAACTATGAACCAGAGACACTCTTATGGGGGGTGGGGGGGCGGGGTGGAGAGGGATTGGGGTCAAAATAAGGGGGTTGCAATTGTATGGGGAATATAAAAATAAAATTTATTAAAAAAAGATAATACTATCTCCTCTGTATCTTTCAGTTTAACTCATTTTGTAACAAATATTCAATCACTTTAGCTCAAAGTCCTGCCTTGCCCTTCTCCACAAGTGTCTCCAATATCACCCCTCTTTCCAAAATGATGTCTGGGTGCAGGGGATGCTCATGCTTTGGCTTAAGTCAAAGAAGGCCCTCGTCAGTGACTCATCTCTGGACCTCCTTCTGTTTTTAGTAACCTATGGCTTGATCTGCTACCAGCCTGGGGAAAGCTCTTATCTGCTCAGCAAGGACATCTCATAGACCTATCCCATGTTCCTCTAGAGTAGGTCTATAAAACGCTGTGTTTGGACAGCCAAACACTGCTCTGAATGTATAGGGAGTTTCTAAAGTGTAAAAATTACTTTTTATGTCTCTGTCAATACTGGCTTGCAAGGCTATTTCTAGCTCAGTAAGACTCAAACCTGGCTACGTATTAGAATTACCTGGGAAGATTTTAAGCATTGCTGGTACTTGTTATACCCCAAATGAATTAAACAAGACTCTCCTGTAGTGGGCCAGCGCTGAAGACAGTGCTCAAGAGACTCCAGACAGTAGGCATTGTCATTTCAATCTCATTAGTGACCCTTTTATCTTGGTGATAACCTCCTACCCTCAAAGGACATGGAACTGATTTTGAGTAAATGTCACGGTAGTGATGTGGGGGAGTTGCAAAGCACAATATTAAAATGTTTTTTAGTGTTAAACATGGCATACATATAATGTATGCATGCACATATGTGTAGGGCATAAGGAAAGCTTAAGAAGTCACTGGTCCTTGGAATATCCTGTGGGCTTTTCACTCTATAGCCCTCTTCCTTCCACCACATATGTTCTCTAGCCTGAATATTTTGGCCACCATTTCTTTGTTTCACTTGTTATTTACATATCAATCTCCAAACATTATAGTACTTAGCTCTGTGAGGTTTTCAACTTTCATATATATGAAATCATAGTGTATTTATTTTCAGTTATTACCTTGTTTCACGCTTCACTGAAAACGTTTTCTCACTACATTTTTTCATTTCTTTTGTCTGAAGGTCATACTATTCCCAGTGCCTATCTTTTAGTGGTTAATTTAGATAATTTAGCATGCATATGTAACATATTCTAAACTTAATATATATCTTTACCCTCTTCCTAATTTTCAAACACTAATTATCCTACTCCCAACTGATGACCAGTATTATAGCTTTATCTTTTTTTAACCTTCAAAATGTGTTCATTATTTATTATTATTGTTATTTTGAAAGTCAATATATATTTTTAAGTTGACCTACAGTACCAATACTCATCATTTTTCTAACATCTCATTTTCTCTATTGGGGATTATATATCTTCTTCCTGAAGAATATCTTTAGAGTTCCCTTAGTCGTCAACTCTACCAATTTTTTTTTCTGAAGCGGTCTGTATTTTGTCCTTCTCCTTTAAAGATAGTTCCATCAAACAGTTATTTTTGTCTCAGCACACTGAAAGTATTATCCCATTGTTTACATTTTGTCAGTCATCTGCTTTTTCTCTCTGGTTGACAAAACAGGACATTGAATAGCTTTATAGAGTTTCACTATGTGTCTTTGATTAATTTTCAAGCATTACTCTTTTAGCATTGTCTCCTGTCCATTTTACTCTCTGTTATTCTTTGGGATTCAGATTATAGATGTGTTAGAAATTTGATTCCACCCTTCACATCTCTTAATATCCTGAGACTTAGACTTAACTTCTCTTATGTTACAGTTTTATAAATCTCCCACGAATGTGTCATTCTTAGTTGGCACTGCCACTCTTCAGTTACCTTATCCCTTTTTCCCCTCTACCACATCACAGTTCTTTACTGCTTACACAGTCTACCCAGCCTTCAGGGGCTCTTCATACCTCCTTTCATTAACTCCTTAAACTCCCCTGACTTCTGTAGGGCTGGCCTCATTGATTTTGTGACTTTCATAGCATTACTGTCCCTGCATGAGATAATGGGTGTAGAGCAAAGAACTCTGGGTTGGAGTCTGAGTTCTAATTCTGGCTCCTCTAGGAGGATGATGGGCAGGGAGGAGTGAGGAGGAAAAAGAGGTGATGCAGGGTAGAGTAGGGCAAGTAATCTAGATCTTCTGATTCCCCATCTCTTCCCACCCACTCACCCTCCAGACCCTGATCCAGCAAACACATCTCACCCCAGATGAGAGCAGTGCCAACAAAGCCTTTCTGGGAATGCCACTGACATGGTAACAACTCAGAGATCAGACCTGTCTCTCACGGTGGTGAAACTACCTTGTGTAGGATTGCAGAACCTGAGAAAAACTTGTTCTTAGAACTGAAGTGCAGCTTAATTATGTGCCCTGATTATGAAATGGTTTGCCTGGTGTCCACAGGTAAACAGAGGAAATCTTTTTACTTCTTTAGAGGAAATACTCTTTAGAGAGAGAACCAAGGCAGCAATCATAAGTCATTCAGGTCTCCTCATTAAAACGGGTCTCTTAATGCTCTCCAGTGGCCAATGCTTGTTGACTTGAATTTGTAATCAATAGGTGCTATAATTCTGGCTCATTACTAATACTTTCCTTACCCAATTAATCCAAATTAGTGTGGCTTAATTTAGAGAAAAGCATGCTAAACTCAGGTCTTGTTAGAAACTCTGCCTCCATGCATGCTTACAGCTGATGGGCTAAGGTGTACTCCCTCTGTGGAAAGAAGCCAGTGCAGGTGGTTTCTGAGGACCTCCCTTCCCCACTGCCTCTAGAAGGATGAGGGGCAAGGAGGAGTGGGGGGGTGAAACTACTAATTTTCATTTTTTCTATTTTTAAACCAGGAATTATTAGCCGAGAAGATGCTGAAGATCTCCTTGAGAACATGACTGAGGGAGCATTTCTGGTCCGGGTCAGTGACAAAATATGGGGTTACACCCTCTCCTACCGCCTGCAGAAAGGGTTCAAGCACTTTCTGGTGGATGCCTCTGGGGATTTTTACAGCTTCCTGGGAGTGGACCCCAACCGCCATGCAACGCTCACCGATCTCATTGATTTCCACAAGGTATCCTTTTAAGGAGTGCTGTTTGGGGATGAAATTAATAGAAAATTGAGCTGAAGGGACAGGTAGACTGCAGGTACTCTAAGGGATGGAATGGAAACTGAGCAGCCCCAGAAGTTCCTTAGGGTCACAAGGACATAGATCTTCTGGGAAGAAGAGAGTAGAGGTTGTCCAGGACAGGCTCTGGGGTGCACTCTTCTCTCTGACTTGCTCTCTGAACCATGCATGAACCTGTGACCACAGTCTCCAGGCCCCTTCTCACCTTACGCACCTGGAGGCTCCCTACTGTCAACACTAGGGGTTGCTTGCTTGTCCTTTGGTCTGACCATTTCCAGAACATCTCTCCTGAGAACATTCCAGGCTGGCCTCTTGTAGCTCTCTATACTTAGTGAAGCCTGGCAGTCAAGACCTTGGTTAGAGAAGATTTTCTAGTAGAGCTTCCAACTACAACTTTACCACTTAGTACATGTGTGACCTAGGGGAATTTCCTTAGTCTCACTGAGTTTTAGTTTTTTTTTTTTTTTAAGATTTATTTATTTATACAAGAACTGGGGTACAGGCCAGAGGCATGGAAGTGTAAGAGAATTCACGAGAGACAGAGCAAGATGCAGAACAGGCAGACGACCGAAAACACTGCTGAGGGGAGCAGTGGGCACGACAGGAGAGGTCTGCCTCACCATGTGGGAATCTCCCTGGCTGGCCAGGAATTGAACCTGCACTGCAGAGGCTGTGGACAGCTTCACAGGGCTGTGCTCAATCTGCTCCACCACTGGGGAGGCCCAGTTTTAATTTCTTTCTGGGCAAATGGATGTAGCTAATACTTAGCTCAGCTCTTATAAGCATTGAATGAGGGACTGTATACAACACATTCTGTAAGTGTACAGTAGTACGGAAGTTCTCGTTTCCCAAGACCTCTTTTTGTTATGTTTCCTGCTGTGGACCTCACATTGAGCAACATGTCGCCTTCCATCTTGTAGAGAGAAGCAACTTTGTGTTAATGTGACTGTTGGTGAAAGTAGTAACTGGGAGAAAGTCAATGGTGGAACCTGGTGACCCAGAAGGGAAAAACCAGGGTTGTGGTAGCTCAGGGATCTCCCATCTTCTTGAGCTGTAGAAAGCTTAGCAGAATGACTTGACCATGTCACTGGGCTTTTGCTATAGTGGGGAACCTTGAATTTGTATTGCTCTTTCTTTATGGGACAGCTCTTGACCTGACCTTGTAAGTAAAACATATAGAAAAGCACCCATTTATAAATACCCAGACATTGGGCAAAAGTACCACAGAAAACTGGATCTAATCAGGATCATGGCAGATTTATTGATCTCAGAAAAACTCTTTCCTAATGATAAGAAAGAGCAAGGGAGAGAATGTGTGAGTGTTTGCTCTTTCTCTGAGTCAAGCATTATGTGTGCTTTCTTTTAATTCTCACGATCTATCTATGAGGGAGGCATATTACCCCATTTCACAAATCGGGAAACCAAGGCCACGGACTTGTTTTCCTGACTTGAAGGACTTGTCTAAATTTTCATGGTTGGTACTAGTGAGATACAGGAGGTAAGCCTCAGGCTGTGTGCCTCCAAAACTTGTGCTCTTTCTTGTGTACCACAGTTCTGGCTTTCCCTGTCCTAGATCAACTGCTTTGAGCAGCGATGAGCTCCCTTGTCACTGCAAGTGTCCACGTGAGAGTAAACGGCCGTCTCTCAGGAAGATGTACAGGTTCCTGCGTGGGAAGGCTAGGCCAGATGTCTTTGAAGGTTTCTATTCTGTCCAAATCTAAGGGTTGAGACTATCAATTTAGTTTTTAACACAAAAGAGAGGGCTCCCTGATGCTCAAGTAGAGATCTGGTGGCCAGTTTTCATAAATTAGGCTTAAAATTTTTAATTATATAATAAACTTAGCATTCTAAGATAATAAAGAAGAATAAAAATCTAACACGAAGTGAAAGCATCATTCATTTCAAATCCCCATTTCTATTTCCCACCTCAAACTAATAGTTTGCCACATGCCTATGCAAGTATGTCCTGGGCATTAACACAGACATTTATGTACATTAGGAAATACATAGTTTTGTTATTTTTCACCTAAATTGGATAATCCTTTACCAGTTGCACAACAATTCAGTTTTTTAATGTGCTTTATGTATTATAGAATTTTTTAAAAAGTATTTTAAAAGCTAGTCTCTGGATAGAGTTTTAAATACCAACTGCATTATTTTAACTTTAGGCAACTACTCAAACTTTTATCCCTTTGCTTCCAGTTCAGTAAGGAGGGATTGATAATAGCACTCACCTCTTAGGGTCACTGTGAAGCTTCAATGAGATGTCAGTGTGTAAAGTGCTAAAACAATCCACCAGAGGCAATTGTTGGCTGTTACTGAAATAGGCCTATGCGACCTTCCCATGTCAGCATGTGTCCTGTGTCCTTGCAAAGGTCCCATGTGGTGCCCACCCTCTGGATAGAGATTACAGTTTAGTTATCCACCTCCCTTTTGATGTCCACTGTGTTTTCATGACCACAAACAGTGCTGCAGACACTTGCTTGGATATATCAATTTGGGCACATTGCAACACTTTCTATAAGATGAATCCCTTGAACTGGAGGGGTTGGAGAGAAGACTATACATATTTTAATTTGAAATGCTCTTCCAAATTGCCCTCCAGAAATGTCACACCAGTTCATGCTTCTGCCAAACTACATGAAGCTGTGGCCCACACGCTGCTGGGGCTGATCAATCATTTTAATATTTACCCGTTGGATGGGGAGACAATGTTGTTTAGCTTGCAGTTCTCTGATTACTACTGATGCTGAGGAGCTTTTTGGATATTTAATGGCCACTTGGATTCCTGCTGTGAATTGTCTATTCATCTCCTTTGTCCATTTTTCTACTTACATGTGTCTTTCTTATTGATGTGTCAATTCTTCCAGCTACCAAATTGCTCTTTAGTTATGTCCATTCTGTTCTTCAGTTCTGTTGAAAATTTTCTTTGAATTTAAATGGACATCCTTTTCATTTCCAGGTTCTATAATTGGTTCTTGTTTCATGGATGATATATCTGCCTTATTCTACCAGGGAGATTCCTATACATCTCCTAAAGGTTCTTTCTGTTTGTTTTATGAACTTGATCTTTTCTTGGGAGTCAGTTCCACTGAGTTTGGCATCTTTTTTAATGGCTATAATTTTCCTTATATGTATGTAAATTTGGGGCTATGAAGTGATCTTTGAACACTGAGGTTCCTGTTTATCCATTTATCATCTCCTTTCCCAAGTCCAGTCTCTCTATGCTGGAAGAGTTGTGATTGACCGTGAGTAGCTCATCTTCTGGGCATCGAAGTGCCTGAACTTTCTAGGCCTAATTCAGCCTCCCACGGAACTGCGTGCCTCTTCTTATTGCCTGAACTTCAGAGTCACAGACCTCAGCTGTCTGCTCCGCTCCAGTCCCTGCTGCACTTCACTCCTCTAAGTATATATCTGGGATGTCTTTTGGTTTTCAAGTATTCTTTAACAGTTTTGCTTCGTTGATGTCCTTCTTATTTTCCAGTAGTGTTATGGGTTTATTTATTTATTTATTTATTTTTAAAGATTTATTTATTTATGCGTTTAAGAGCTGGGGTACAGGCCAGAGGTGTGGGGAGTGAGAGGATTCACCAGAGACAGAGTAGGGGACAGAACAGGCAGATTGACCAAAGGGAGCAGCTGCTGAGGGGAGCAGCGGGTGAGACAGGAGAGGTCTGCTGCGCCTTGTGTGTTGCTCTCTGGCCGGCCGGGGATCGAACTCATTCTGCAGTGGCTGAGGATAGTTTCATAGGCTGTGTCTTAATCCCTTGCGCCACCAGGGAGACCCCGGTTTATTTATTTTTATAAGCAGATTTCCACCTGTCATTTCTAGAAATTTGAGTGAGAAAGATGATTTTACTCCTCTGTCTTGAAACTTGGTGTTTGTTCCTTTTCCTTCTTGATAATATATATTTTTTTCCCTTTTAGGAGGAAATTATCACTGTTTCAGGGGGAGAGTTGCTGCAGGAAGCCTGTGGACAGAGAGACAGCCCGCCAGACTACCATCTGTTGTTTGAATGATTTTTCCCCCCTAGCAATTGGACTCCTTTACACATCCTTTTCTCTGAACTGCACATAAGAACTTCCCAGCTCAAATCATTACAGCCTTCTGGAAGATCCACCACTACCCAGAGGAACAAGTATTTTAGTATATTTCAGGGACATGAAATATATGGTATATATCGCCCAACCCAGTACCCAGGACAGCAATTGCTCATAACTGATGCAACTCTTTCATGAAGGGTTTAGTTCTAAAGGTGAAGCCCATTTGCCACTGTTGCCCTAAACTGAGCTTCTAGAGCACATGAATCATGTTTTAATAATCCAAATTAATCCCAGTGTTGAACTCTGAATTTAACATATGGCAGACATTCACTATATGTTTGCTAAATGAATGCACTTCTTCTGAGTGTTTTCCAACATTGATCAGTGATAATTCCCAGTAAGTTGTTTCCTATTTGTTACTGTTTGTAAAGTTGTGGATATTATAGAAGAAATCTTGTAAAGGATTTTTATGAAGACATAGATGCTGCGTCTTCAATGATGTTCAATATCATCCTCATTGATACTGCCATTGGAATTACCTATACTTTTGAGCCCCAGCTTCCAGCACAGATGACTGAGACTGCCCCACCTTCCTTATTTACCTCTGCTTTTGTCACCCCTCCTTTTTCTTTTCTTTTTTTAAGATTTATTTATTCATGCATACAATAACCGGGGCACAGGCCAGAGGTGCGGGAGGGTAAGAAGATTCACCAGAGACAGAGTGGGGAACAGAACAGGCAGACTGACGAAATACACCACTGAGGGAAGTAGCGGGCAAGACAGGAGAAATCTGCCATGCCATGTGGGTATCTCGCTGGCCGGCCAGGCTTGAACCCACGCTGCAGAGGCTATGGACAGCCTCACAACGCTGCGCTCAACTGCCTGCACCACCAGGGCAGGCCCACCCCTCCTTTTTCTTGCAAGCATTATGATAATGGCTTTACAACTTTGGGACAGTGGTTCATTGTAGTCCTACAGATGTGCCAAGATCTGGGGTGAATTATAAATCTAAGGATGGTTTGTAGATGGCTGATAAGATCTTTGCTCTCTAGCATTTGACCTTTTTGCATGTTACTCAAATGATTGCTTTTGTCTTTTATTCCTTGTGATTTTGATTTTACTTTCCACTTAGTGTGAGTATGTTCTTCATATTAAGAAGGCTCTTTCAGTAAGTCCTCACTGCTCTCAGTGAGGGGTTGTACTATGCATAACCATGTTTCACATGGAACACACAGAGGGAGAGCATGTTATGATGGGATGTAATAGACTCTAGAGTCAAGGAGACTTGGATTCACATTCCCACTCTAGAACTTATTAGTATAATAATATTAGAAGCATTGGATCTGACGAGAGTAAGTGCATCAGCAGACTGGTTGTCTGGTTTACCTTACCTGAGAGCTGGATAAAACATCTCTTATGCCTCCCTTATTCCTCTACTTGTCTCACCAGTTCCTCAGATCCTTGGCCACTTGTCTCACCCCATTGCCACCCTGGAACTGATTTTGCACGGGCTATACTCCTCCTCAATGTGTCGATCAGCTTCATGTGAGCCCAGGCTGGTGGTACCTTGCACTTGTGGTGCTATGAGCCCCCCACCACCTGTTGTTGAGATTTAGGACACATGTGATGAGAAGAGCTGGGTGAACATTTGATCAGTGGGAGATAGAACCTGGTAGTTCAATTCTTCCTTGGAGACTGCTCTGGGAGACAGTTCTTTACATGGCTCCCTTCAAGGTGGAGCAGCTAGTCATGGTGAAATCAAGCAGTGGCCAGATGGGTACCAGCCCCTCCTATTTGTCTTCCTTCTTCTCTGCTTCACCTTCCTCTCTCTCCAGCTCCTGTGGGATTGTGTCCCAGAAGAAAGCAGCAAAATCTAAACACTGGCTCTGGCTCTGTCTTTGGGGCAGTCATCACAAATGAATTCAGTAATATCAATTTTACAACCTGGTTTCCCTCCCACCTGTCTTGTTGAGCCCCCAAATGGGTAAAATGAGGAGAAGGAGGGAGTACGCTTTCTGAACTCTAATGTGCTTTAAAACCATAACTAATTATTATTAAAATTATCTTCTATTAGACTCAGAGGAACTGAATGTGAGTTTTGGCCATGCGGCTGACCAACTATGTGACTCCACTCGAGTCATTAAGCCTCACTGAAACCTGGTGTAACTGAGAAGAGAATCTCTGTGGCCATAGCTAGGTGTATTATCAGGTCAGTTAAATGATCAATATGAAAACTTTCCAAATGAAAGGCATTGCTCATGACAACCATAGTACCAGCAACATATCATGCTTTGCAGTGGTGTACACGATGTCAGGCTTAGCAGTAATGTAAATGATGTAATGATATGATATAATTATTAGGATATAATGATTTTCAAGGTGTTAGAAGAAACTAAGAAGACACTTTTTGTTCCAAAGCTGCTTTGAAAGCAGACCAAGATGGGTGAGAACCTGAATCCCTGGGCTGTTGTTCCTGTCACCCATAATTTGTATGTGAGAGACAACAGCTGAGTTTTCTATGCCTAACATATTTATTTCCTTTTATTTGGGGCATGCACTTTCTCCATGTTTCATATATTTTAGGTTTTACCTGGTCTTAAAATAAATTCCTTATAACTTGTCCTGCAAATGAAATTACTGTCTGGAAAACTGCAATTTCATCTTGAGAGTTTTATTATGCTAATAAATGTCAGGATTCTCAAATAAAGGAATTGTCCCTTTTTCCTGAGCCTTACAAATATAATGAAAAATAGTTAGTCAGCTACAAGACTCAGCAGAGGAAAATTTACAATCTATAGCTAGTAAGAGAAGTTGTAAAAGATACTATGCAACTTAATAGAAGATAAATTTTAACTTATGAAAGAGAAACTTGGGGTACAGAAACTGTGTGGCAGAATTGCTGAGCTGTCACTTGGGGCGTGGGAAGATATTTAAGGGGCATGGGCTAAAGGAAGCTACTGAGAAAGAGCCCTTAGAAGGGACATATGGGCATGAACCTGGGACCTTAGAAGGTGTGTGTCCCTCCTTGTCCCCTTGGACCCTTCAATATATTCAGGAATAAATTTCCAGGCAGAAAAACTTTAACTTTTTGATCCTGGACAAGTTTCTCCAATTCTCTGCATCCCTGTTTCTTCTGTAAAATGGGATCAAAATGCTGATCTCAGAGGGTGACTGTGAAAATAGCATAATGTGAGATTTTGTGATAATGATAATTTTGTTTCTCTCTCTCTCTCTCTCTCTCTTTCTCTCTCTCTGTAATCTCACAGCCATGCTGAGGGAAACAACACTATCATCTCTACCTGCACATGGGGAAACTGAGGCCCAGTGCCATTCAGAACTTCCCAAGGCTCCTTCTCTGGGAAGCTGTACTTATGGTGCTGGGATTCACCAGTCTAGTGGAACTTCGGTGCTCCTCAGGGCTGGGATGTGCAACAACACATGGTTATTTCTTAGGTTCAGATTCCACCCTGCCCCCTGTACGTCCCTGGCCACCTGTGTCCTGTGACTTGTAAAACCAGTAAACTGAACTAAGCCATGGCATGCATGAGAAACTGGTTAAGGTCAAACTCTTAGCCAGCTCATGCAGATCTGTGTGTCTTAGGACTTTGTACCTATAACTTGGGTATTAACCAAAAAATTAACCTAGCCCTTCCATAACTTTGTTTGTTCCTCATATATCTCCTCCTGACTCCTTTATTCCATATTGCTTACTACCTTTTATGTCCATATGCTGGCATGCCTCTGGTTAATTTCCCTTCTATTCTCACATCTTGGGCTTTTACATTCTGCTTGCTCTCATTGGCTGTAATTATTGCCTTTCATTTTCTTTAATGACTCTTTGTTCCCTGGACAGCTGTGGGAAATTTGATGGCAGGGTTTGGGGTGGGAGGGTGGGGTAGGGGAATGCACTCCCTTATATGTGACATGTGTATTCTTTTTAGCCTTATCCTTCTACTGATCGTTGAATCTTTTATAGGACTATAGAAAGTTCTTTGGGATAACTAAGCCTTTCCTCTCAATTCTAGTTCCTAAGGATTTATGAAAAGTGAGGAACACTTGAGGTTTATAAGCAAAGAAAAGGAAACAGAACAACTAAAATATGACGTTGAATAAAAAAATGAGTGTTCTAATAAGGAACTAGGTCCATAAAACCATCTGTGCGCTAGTAGCCCAGAGCCCTATTCCAGCGCATCCTTTCAGGAACAAATCAGACACCTCCTCAAGTCCGCCTAATGAAATAGTGTTTTCCATTAGCAGCTTAGCAATTTGTTCTAGAAGCATGGAATCCCTGAACAAGTGGGCCATCGGGAAACTAATTAATGACACTCTACATTAGAAACATTCTTAACCTTAAAAAGCAGACACTAACTCATAGCTGAAATTGAAATGCAAAATCATTTTAGGAACAACTTAACTTTTTATTACTTAGTACCTACCAAGGGAGAATCGTGTGAGTCGGAGGCACGTACCTGACATGTCTATAAAACAATGAAGCCAGGCTGGTAGGGGCAGCGCATAGCCTGTAAGGAGAAAGCGTCAGCACTCACAATGGAGATTTATGTTCTCAATTAAGCAATTCAATGATTGGTTTAAGGGAGGTACCATTTCTCTCAACAACTTTAAAAGCCCCATAACACTAATTTTTTAAACCAATTGTACTCAAAATTACAACAAAGACTCAAAAAAGGAGAAAAAGTTAGAGACACATTTCATAGGGCGCTACAAGCTTTTTCTTTTCTCTTATTTTCAGATGGAATCACTTTTCTTTTCCTTTGAATATGCGATTTCTTTTTCCACTGGCACCTGAGAATGGCCAGGAAGAGAAGGAGGGAGCTGTCATTCAGGGCCCTAATAAGGAGGAGGGAGTCTCAAAAAGGGGAATTTGATGGGGTTTCACTTACAAAGGTGCAGGGCAGCCACAATGCGAAGTGTAGTGCCCTGTGGCTTAGCAGCATCCCAACTGATAAGATGAGGCCCACCCACAGTGTGGAGGGCAATCAGCTTCATTGG